GTCTAGTCTCATTTGGGGTATTTTTCCCCCCTCTCATCTGCTCAGCTTGATTACTTTCTATTACTCTGTCCTCCAGGTAGCTGATCTGTTCTTCTACTTGCTCTTGTTATTTATTCCAGGTGCTCTATTTTTATTTCCATTTAGTGAGTCCAGTATCTCTAATTGGTTCTTTTTTATGTCTCCTATCTCTTGGTGGAGGGTCATATGGAGGTCCTACACTCTTTTCTCAATTCTAGCGAGTATCTTTATGAACATTACTTTAAATTCACTATCAGACATATTACTTGTCTCCATTTTGCTTAGTTCTCTTGCTCTGATTTTGTTCCTTTTTTTTTAAGATTGATTGATTTATTTATTTATTTATTTATTTATTTATTTGAAAGAGAGAAAATGAGAGAGAGAGAGAGAGCATGTGAGAGGGGGGAGGGTCAGAGGGAGAAGCAGACTCCCTGCTGAGCAGGGAGCCCGATGCGGGACTCGATCCTGGGACTCCAGGATCATGACCTGAGCCGAAGGCAGCCGCTCAACCGACTGAGCCACCCAGGCACCCCTTGTTTCACTCTTTCATTTGGGACATATTCCTCTGTCTCATTTTGTCTATTGTTGTGTCTGTTTCTACATGTTAGGAAAGTCAGCTACGTCTCCTGCACTTGAAAGTAGCGGCTTTATGAAGAAGAGGTCCTGCAGCGTAATGTCTCCTTTTCACCAGAAAATGGTGCTTCGGGGGTGTCTCCTATGTGTGTTGCTACAGGAGTGTCTTACTGTTGTGGTGGAGCTGTTTGCCTTCAGTCCGGCCTGCGATGGCGCTCTCCCTGTTTTGGGCAGAGTCGGATGCCTGTGGTGTTAGTGGGCTGGTCCGGGGCTGCCCTGGGCTTGAGTTGAGTCAGAGCAGATGTGTTTATCAGAGATGCAGTAGCACCAAACTGCAGGGCACTGTCCCTGTGTTGTCCCCTAAGAAGGTTTTGTTGGTGGGCAGGGCCTGCAGTCAGACCAGCTGCCTGCCCCCAGCCCACTGCTGGGGTCACAGACTGGTGTGTGTGGTTATCTTCACCTCTCCCTGGAGCAGGACTCACTTTGGAGTGGTGCTGGCCCCTGTCTGGGCTGTGCGCACATTGCCGGGCTTGTGGCACCGCTTTGATGGGATCTTACCAAGAGCAATTGGAGGGCATGGATCTGCTTCGCTGTGGCCTCTCATCTGTGTTGGGATGTGGAGAGTCTGTCCTGCCAGTTTTCTGGTTGCTTTCTGGGTTATTTATGCCGATGTGGGTGTTCTCTAGGTGGCCACATGGCAAGAAGTGAGCCCAGGGTCCTCCTACTCCACCATCTTCCTGGCAGCCTCTGATACAGGTCTTTTTTCTGTCACTTGGTTGTAAGTACAGAGGATTCCCCCCCACAATCCACGGGGGTACATTCGAAGACCCCCAGTGGATTCCTGAAACCAGGCCCACCACCAAACCCTGTACATACTAGGTTTTTTCCTAGACATACATTTGTACAATAAAGTTTAATTTATAAATAGGCCCAGTAAGAGATTAACAACAATAACTAATAATAAAATAGGACAATTATAACACTGTAGCGCAATATTGTGAATGTGGTCTCTCTCTCTCTCTCAAAATATCTGTCCCGTACTCGCCCTGCTTCTTGTGACCACGTGACATGACACAATCCCACGTGACGAGATGAAATGAGGGGGTGATGTAGGTGCTCTGACGTAGCGTTAGGCCCCCATGGACCTTCTGATGAGGATCATGACCAGGATCATCTGCTTCCAGACCAAAGTTGACTGCAGGCCACTGAAACCGCAGGAAGAGAAATCAGAGAGAGGGGGGGACCACCAGAGGCCTTCCCAACTCGGGGTCCCCACTTTTATCCTCTTCCCTGCCTTCACCGCTCTCTGCCTTCTCCTCCCTCCCTTCCTTCAGCCTCCAGCTCACAGCCCACCAGCAATGCCTTTCTCTCCCACCCCACACAACCACCATCTAAAATTATCCTGTGACTTATATACTTCCTTGAGAGGGTCTGTCTCCCCCACGAGAACGTCCACTCCAAGAGAGAAAGGAAAGGATTTTGTTCTGTTCATCCTTCTTCCACCACACATAGAACCATACCAGGTGCATGGTAAGCTCAGAAAAAAAAAAAAACCCTCTCTCGGTGTACCTGGACTCCTCATGGAGTTCTGAGGCTGCTTGGAAACAGGATTCCCCAACCCACTTTAGCAGCACACACTCGAGAATGTTCCATGAAAGGAGCAGAGGGTGCTCCCAGCTCCATAGCGTCCCCCCCCCCCCACCGCCTTCTGCACATCTAGCTGTAGGGTCGTCCAGAGCCTCAGCCGATGGTATTTTCCTCCCTGGCGCATTGTTACAATCAGTGTTCAAATTGTTGTCTTACAAGAACTAGCAGGGAATTTTTCGGCTGATCTCCAGTGGAAATAGAAGAATATCCTAGAAATATAAATACAGCTTCCTTGTTCATAGATGGCACCTTCTCCCTGTGTCCTCCTGTAGCAGAGGGGGTAGGGAGCCCCATGGGGGCAGAGAGGCACGGATCCCATTCATGGGGGCTCCACCATCACGACCTAATCATCTCCCAAAGGACCACCTCTTAACACCAGTGCATTAGGGACTGAGCTTCAAAATAAGAACTTTTCGGGGGACACGAACATTCGATGTATGGCAGCGCATTTAACAGAACTACATCTCAAGAACAAAGGTCAAATGAGGGCATTTTCAGAAGAACAAAAACTGAAAGCTTTAACTACCAGTAGCCCAAATGAAAGACCTTCTAAAGGATACAGTCAGGAGGAATGAAAGTAACCCCATAGAGGAAGGTCTGAGATGCAAGAAGGCACACACAAGGCGGAAAGGTAGGTGTCAGTGAACCTGGATGCTCATTGTGCAGTAAAAATAGTTGCCTAATAAGCAGGCTTAATGAAAACAGAACTAAAATCCACACCCTAAGAGCATGTGAATTAGTAGGAAGGTGACTTGGGTTAAAATAGTCCATGTTGTCTGCATATTCAGGCAGGGCAGGGAGGTGGTAACAGTTAAGATACTCACACGAGACCATCAAGTTTCAGATGCATAGTAAAATTTCCAAGATAATCATTTATGTTTTTTTTAAGATTTTATTTATTTGACAGAGACAGCGAGAGAGGGAACACAAGCAGGGGGGAGCTGGAGAGGGGGAAGCAGGCTTCCCGCTGAGCAGGAAGCCCAACTTGGGGCTCGATCCCAGGACCCCGGGCTCACAACCTGAGTCGAAGGCAGACTCTTAACAACTGAGCCACCCAGGCGCCCCTCAAGATAATCATTTAAAGAGTAAACACAGAGGCTATAACTTTCATCCCAGGAGAGAGAGAAAAGTACTAAGAAAAAAATTTTCAATTTTTACAGACCAGAAAAGATTATATATAGACTAACCAATAGATAGATGATAGATAGATAGGATGGATAGAGTGGATAGAAAGGATAGATAGATAGATGATAGATAGATAGATAGATAGATAGATAGATAGATAGATAGATAGATAATAGATAGATAGATGATAGATAGATAGATAGATAGATAGATAGATAGATAGATAGATAACAAGGAATGTAAATGGAATAACCATTCCAATTAAAGATTGGAGTGGGGGAAATCCAGCTACATGCGCTTTACAAACAAACAAGAGAAAACAACCCCCCCAGAAAAGCTAAAACATAAAAACACGGAAAGATGAAAGGTATAGGGATAGAGAAAGCTACATCAGGCAAACACTAGCAAAATAAAGGTAGAGTAGCCATATTAGTACCAGATAAATGGTCTCTAAGTCAAAAAAGAAGTGATTCGGGATAGAGAGGGTCACCAGAGAATGATAAACCTTCACCTCACCAGGAAGATAGGGTTGGAAGAGAATGGGCACCTAAACAAATAACTTGGCACTAAGTACTGCAGGTGCTTCTCCACTTTCCACATGGAGGCTCGTGCCTGTGGGTGGCCAGCTCAGCCTTTGGCTGCTGCATCCGGAGCCAGAGAAAAGGATCCGCGGACTGGCAGGCCCTCCTCAGCTCTCCAGGTACATAAGGAAGAAGGAGCTGGAGTCAAAGCTGCTTCCCACACTCCCATGAGAGGCCAGGTGAGTTAGGATGTGAGTTCTCACTTTATGGGTTGGGGCAGGAACACAGAGAAGAATGAAGGAAGATTTCGAATTCAGAAGGCAGAGGTCCTGTCTTTGCTAAACCCAACATTTCTCGAATTTTTTTCTTAGCACCTTAAGATCTGGAGAATTTGGACAAACAGTGACCTGATGCAATTCTTCCGTTTCAAAGACAAAGAAACAAAGTGCAGGGAGGCGATGCGGCGTGAGGTAAGTCACACACACGAATGATGTATCTGTGTGTGCATATAATCATTCATATTCACACAGTGACCCAAGAGAGATCTTGAAAACAAATGAATCTAAATGTTAAAATGGCAAATTTCCCCTGGATAAAGAAAGAAAGAAAAAAAAAAAAAAAACCCTCTATCAGACAGCCCCGCGAAATTAAAAAAGGCACTGCGGTAGGTCTGCTTTCGCTCCGCAAAGGGCCAAACAAGCAGGCTGTTAACACCGTGTGCACCACATTGAAATGTCAGATTGCTTCTGACTCGGGTAATTCATTACTGAATTGAAAGCATTATATATGGGAAGAGCAAAAATCTAATTCCAGCTCATTTCAATAAGAATTGATCTAAGAGTTCATTACATAAAGTAATTTTTACCAGCACAACTTCGAAGGCATGCTTCAATGAGGATTAGAATCTCTCCTGATAGCTGAAACTGATAAGGGGAAATTTGCATACGGATAGCGCAATGCTAAGGTGCACCTCTTGTGTTGTACATAACAAGTTTGTTTTTCTGATGTTTGCTCCATGTTGGAGATGAAGGTTAGGCCTGAAGAAGTAGCGTTCGGGGTTATTTTTTTTTTTTTTAATATTTTTATTTATTTATTTGACAGAGAGAGACACAGCGAGAGAGGGAACACAAGCAGGGAGAGTGGGAGAGGGAGAAGCAGGCTTCCCGCAGAGCAGGAAGCCCGATGCGGGGCTCGATCCCAGGACCCTGGGATCATGACCTGAGCCGAAGGCAGACGCCTAACCGACTGAGCCACCCAGGCGCCCCCGGGGTTATTTTTAAAAGGGATCTGAAATCCAGGTTCATTTGTCTCTATCTCATGCAATAACTTAATAAGGAATTGCATGTAAAGCACTTAGCACAGGTTGAAGTTCTTGTTGAAAGGTAGCTTTTAGAAAGCTCTTCAAACCCTGGTTCGCTAGTCTGAAATACCAAGATAGTACACCTGGCCTGGTGTCCTTAAAGACCCAAAGAGTAAATATGTGTGGGATGCAGTTTCTGCTAGATCCAACCACTGCCCCTGGGCAGTGGGCTTGCGTGAACACCTCCAAGATCTGGATCCTCAGCTTTGTGTTTGATTGGCATCTGCGCTGGGGCTCAAGCAGCTGAACCCAGGCCCCCAATTTCTCAGGCACAGCAAACGATTCTTCCATCTCTTATTAAATAGGCTTTCTGGACTCAAAGAGCAGGTCTCTAGCCAAATCCTTGGCTCTTCACTGGGATCATCAGGAGTGGGGGTGGGGTTCTTTAAAAAAAAAAATGCCCAGGCTGCCCCCAAAACCAACTAAAACAGAATCCCTGGGCATGGGACCCAGATGTCAGCATATGTATAAGCTCCCTGGTGATTCCAATGAATGGACAAGGTTTTGAACACCTGGGGCTAACGGGTGGTAGAGAAACAAAGCTAGGGGCTGTGGAATGGTGCGGATGGCTTTTCCCTATGTTTGTGCCCCCAAAACGTCTGCTAACAGCTTGAAGGGTAATGTGAGGAAGAGGTAAAGGAGCCCAGAGTTTTTCCCCCAAAACACTTTCCAGTAGCAAGGTAATAGGGAGCTCTGCCGAAGCGGGCTTTCTAGTTAGCACGGAGAAGGTCAGAAAACTCTTTTCAGATCACAAAAAAGGCCTCATGTCAGCCTCTGCCTTGGTCAGCAGAACAGAGCACCTGTCCAATAAGAACCCCCTTCTTTGACTTTTGTCCTTTGAGACCAGGCACTTTTTTTTCTTTTTTAAGATTTTATTTATTTGCCAGAGAGAGAGCGCACAAGCAGGCAAAGCAGCAGGGAGAGGGAAAGGGAGAAGCAGGCTCTCCACCGAGCAGGACCATGGGAGCATGACCTGAGCTAAAGGCAGACACTTAACCAACTGAGCCACCCAAATTGGCGTTTCCGGAACTGTACTATCCAGGCCAAATAAAGAATGAATGAAGAGGCAGGAAGAGCAGGTAGGAGCTGATGGGTGAAGCCAAGGTCAGGCATTCCTAGGGCAGCCGTGGTTCTCGTCGTTCCCGTGCCTCACTCCTAGCATTTCTGACGAGGTAGCTCTGGAGTAGAACCTGACCGCCTGCATCTACACGCTCCTAGGCTGGTGGTTGTGACTGCACATTGAAATCACCCGGAGACACGGGGCCCCACCTCACCCCTCTGCATGGTTCAGTTGGTCTGGGGTAGGACCCAGACATGAGCATGCAAAACCCCCCAAAGGATTCTCGGGTGAAATCAGAAGTGAGAACTGATCTCTGTTGCTCAAAGTGTGGGCCAGGGGCTCGCACCAACTGGAACGTGTTAGAAATGCAGAGTCTTGGGCTCCATCCCAGACCGAGAGAATCTGCGTCTGCATTCTGACAAGATCTTGGGTGATTCTCGTGCCTGTGAAAGTTTGAGATGCACTGACAAGTAGCATCTGGCCTGAAATAGGATTCCAGAAGCATCTGGAAGCATGGGGGGAGATGGAGTCCAGACCGCAGGGTGAGAACTCAGAAACAGACACAGGGGAAGAGAGAAGTTCATTTGTTCACCCAAATGGACTATAAGGACCCACAGTGCGTGACCCTCACCATGTGACCATGACCCTCAGTGTATGACGGATACTGCTGGGTTAAGTGCTAGAGAATCAGGGGGCCTCATGCCATCCAAACACCACAATAATAAAACAAGGGGCCTTGGGCGCCTGGGTGGCTCAGTTGGTTAAGCGACTGCCTTCGGCTCAGGTCATGATCTTGGAGTCCCGGGATCGAGTCCCATGTCGGGCTCCCTGCTCGGCGGGGAGTCTGCTTCTCCTTCTGACCCTCCCGACACTCCCCCCTCTCATGTGCTCTCTCTCATTCTCTCTCTCTCAAATAAATAAATAAAATCTTTAAAAAAAAAAAAAAAACAAATAAAACAAGGGGCCTTGAGCTGTCACCGTAAAGCTCTGGAGGTGCTTCTGATCCAAGCAGCCTGGGTCAGGAACTCGTGCAGCATCCCGGCACACAGCAGGTTCTCCGTCAATGCTGAAGGAGGAATGCCCAGCGGAGCGGCTTTGGATCCACACCTCCAAGGTGGAGAGGGTCACGACAGGCAGAAAGGGGATGTCAGAGGCTGGAGCATGCAAAGGGCCAGAGAGTAAGTATTCTAGGCTTTGGAGACCGTGTGGTCTCTCAGCTCTGCCCCCACCATGTGAAAGCCTCCAGAGGCCTGCTGTGTGCCAGTCCGAGTTTATCTCCAGCAACAGGCTGTGGGCTGCGCGTGGCCGTGGCGAGCCGGCCCCTGGTCTGGAGCAAGAGGGGAAGGCAGGCTGAGGTGGAAGCACACAAGGGCGAATCGGCCGTGGCTAGCAGGCCGTGGGAGGCCTTCACTACGGAGCAGAGGGGAGCAGACCTGGAAACAGGAGTGGCCAGCTGGTGCAGGACTTTGGGAGCACAGAGGGAGCGGCTCAGAGGCCAGCTTGCGGGGAGCCACGTGGAAGACTCGTGTCAGGGAGGATCAGGAGACTCGTGTCAGGGAGGATCAGGGAAGGGAGATAGGCAGGGGGCCAGGTAGACGTAGGGATGGTTCCCAAGAGCGCTGGAGGACAGGGAGCCAGAGTGAGGAGGTGCTCTGGCTGTGGGATCTGCAGGGCTGAGGGTCGGGAGGGGTGGTGCAGGGGGACTCACAGACAAAGTCGGTTCCTGGTCCCAGGGTCACCGGGTTGATGGGGATTGCTGTGGCCAGGCACGGGGGCCGGGGAGGGTGCAGCAGGATCCGTAGGCAGGAGGTGAGCCAGATCTGGGAGCTCGGGGGAGTGTATGGAGCCCGGCCGGGCCCACTGCAGCATGTCAACCCCCGTCACACCGGAGCACCCAGGCAGCTGCAGAAAGCGTTCCAGAAAAGCAGGAGGAAAGGCTCAAACGCAGGGCTTGCCTGATGGTCGATCTTCTGATGGATGTGAATCTGGGAGACAGAACTCACCCAGGACTGGGCAGGGAATCCCAGCCCTCCAGGGCTGGAAGGTGCCTAGGAGCCGTGTTCCTCCGACCTCGGGATGCCACGAAGCCCCTGGGGGTGCTGTGAAGGAAGAGTCTGGCTCCGTGGTTTGGGTGGGGCCGAGACTCCACGTTTCTAAGGAGCGCAACTGTGTTGCCTGCTGCCGGCCCAGGAGAGGCTTTGAGAATCAAGGCCTTGGAGCTGATCCCCACCTCCCCCTCTTGCCTCCAAGACTAGGGCGGTGAGACCCACTGGGCTACTACTTGTGGGATGGCCATTATACCAGCCCCTGGGGACGCTGAGGAAATATGAAAAGTAGCTCATACTGGAGTCCTTGTGATGTGGCAGGCACTGTCCCATTCACATTGTGACTCATTTACTCCTCGCTGTGGCCCAGGCGGTGGGTTCCCCTACGGCCCCGTTCCCCACACGGTGACGGAAGAACAAGGCAGCCACACTCTTGAGCCAAAACTCCATCCCTGAGGCCCACAGAGGGAAGCCACGCCCCCCTCCCATGGCAGGACCACCAGCCCCAAATGGGTGCATTCCCCCACCCCAGGCTCGGTCACCTCTCCTGGAAAATTCCAGACTTCGGCTATGACGTTGGACCCGAGGCATAATGAACCCACTAAGTCGGGTGGGCTGGTGCGGGGAGCGGCCTGCAGCAGGGACACGGGGGCGCTCGGAGAAGTCTCCAGCGGTGCTTCTCTCGGCACTAGGTCAGCCCTTAGAAGACACACCTCCGCGGAGCTCCTGCAATGCAAACAAGTGCCCCCCAATAAAAGGGAAATAATTTTTTGCGGCCAGTGCGTATTTTATGGGCATCATCCTGAGGAGCGGCTCCGGGGCCCGGGGGCGCGCGCGCTGCGATGCTGCCACCTAGTGGCGATTGGGGGGGCGGCAGCTGCTGCGGAAGTGAAGTCTCCAAACCCCCGAAGAGGCAGGGGAGGCGGCATCCTGCGAACAGCCATTCTGGGCGGTGGCTGTTTTTAGCTGGGTCTCTCCTTCTGTGCCACTTCCATCATGGAAACTGGCTCTCTAGACCCAAAAAAAGCTGCGACGTGCTCTGCAAAAGCTGTTCGAGGGCCAATTTTAGCTGCATTTCTTGGAATTTGGGCTCCCGGGAGGGAGGAGGGATGCGTGGTTCCCAGGAAGTCGGCAGCTTTTGAGAACCTAGAACCTGGAGGTTGGTTCTGGCCATGAGCGTGTGAGATTATGGATCCCTTGGGTTCCAGCCCCGGTACCCGGCCCTGCAAAGGAAAATGTATTTGGGGGCGGTTTAGAGGTGGCAGCTACTGTGTCCTTGGGAGCTTTACCCTGTGCTATTAAGAGCTCTCTTATCATGGACAATCTCACTGATGCCTCAAACCCTAAGAGGAAATGTACAAATTACATCCATTTTACAGCTGAGGAAATCAAGGCTTGGAAAAAAGTTCAATGACTTAGCCAAGGTCATAGAGCTGGTAACTAGCAGAGAGCCATGATTTGAATTCTAGAGTCTGCGCGTTAACCCAGAACCCAAACAAAGCAGTGGATTCAGGAGTTGAGAGTCCTGAGTTCATCCACACTCTGCTGCTGCCAACTCACTGTGTGACCTTGAGTAAGTAGATGAACCTCTCCGGGTCTCAGTTTCCTCTATGGTAAAGCAGGTATGGTATTCATGCATTCTGCTGCTCAAGGCTGAGTGGGGATCCAAAGATAAATCTGCCATCCTTGGAGCCAGTGATTCCATTCCCTGGCCTGGGGGCCACCCAGACCCTCAGATTCTTCTAAAGATTCCAGGAGATCAATGGAGATACACTCAGGACCCCCGCATGGGAAGGAACCCCTAAAATGAGCACTGCCTTTGTTTAGTCCCTGGGAATCCATACAGCAAATCAGCCCGGCCCCCAGTTTCTGGGGTTCCAGTTCCCACCCTGCCCCTACTCACCTTTGGGTCCTGGTTCTCACCTGTCAAATGGGGTTTGACTCTGGCACTGACTTGTCGCATTGTTCCAGGATTTAAAACTGCGTGCTAGTGAGTAAATCTTCCAGGCAGGTGCAGGCGCTAGAATCACCCTCTCATCCTGATTTGTCCAGGACTTTGCCCATTTTAACTTTGACATTCCGTGTCCCGAGAAACCCCTCAGTTCTGGGTGAACCGGGATGACTGGTCACCCTACAGGACACACAGCTCAACCCTGACCAGCAGACTAGATATCCCCATTCTCGACACCCCTCATGGCCCTTTTCATGGCTGGAAATAATCTAACTGTGTGTCAACCTCCCCCAGTAGATGTAGTCTTATCTGATCGCCGCCGTGCCTGGCTGGGGGCTTAGCCCCTGTCAGTCCATCAGCAAACCACAGGGAGTAAAGAGGCCTCTGTGTCAGGTCCTCTTGCTAGGCACTGGGAATACAAGATAGCAGAGGCCGTGGCCATGTGGTCGTTAAGGGTTGTGATGGGGTAAGCATGGGATCAGGGAAAACCACAGAAGGACCATAAGCTAGCATGAGAGGACAAGTGTCAGAGAGGCCTTAGGAGGATCTGACCCAAGGCAGGCCCACAGAGCTGAATTATTCAGGCAAGGAAGAGAAGAAGCGAAGACAGAGGTTTTGTTGGCCACATGACAAGCCTATGCCTGGAGTGTCAGCCTGACCCCAAACCAGAATGCAGTCTCCCAAATCCCAGAAACATCCCACATCTCCTCCTCCGAACACCACCCAGTCCCTGCTCACTTGATAACACAAAGGAGACATTACCTTAATCGACAGCTCATAGCCTTTGTCCTTGTCCCCAAAGGTCCAAGTTCATGCCTAAGATCTTGGATAGGGCATGGGAAGAAGCTCTGCAACCCCCAGGCCAAGCCTCAAAAATTCTAAATTATTGGTTTACTATACAGGTGGAAGGACAGGCTCACCGTTCCCAGCTTTTACCTTATTTACGGGTGGCTGTCGCCCAGCTGAGACCTGGGAGCACAGCTGATTATTGGAGTCATGACCCAGTGGTTCTCAGCTGGGCTCATAGCATCTTCCGGGGAATATTTAGCAATGTCTGGAGATGCTTCTGGTTACCCCGTCTGGCGTGGGGGGTTGCTCCTGGCATCTGGTGGGCAGAGGCTAGGGGGGGTTGCTAAGCACCCACAGAGCACAGGACGGCCCCGCAACAGAGAGTCATTCAGTCCAAAACATCATTACTGCTGACATTGAAACCCTTGCCCTGTTGTAACTGGCCACCGAGGGCTCCACAGGAAGCCACCGGGCAGCCATTGAGCTGTTCAGTGACCTCCCGGATAGAGATTGAGGGGACACGGTTGGGCCTGAAGTTTCCTGTTCGACTTTATTTCCACGTTAGCGCTGCATTAGTCTTCCATGTGACTTTTAATATTTTTCCTGGTCCCTGACCCTCAACGCTGACCCCATGCCTGCAGGAGAAAGATCAGGTGGCATCTCAGCCCTTCCGCGTGCCCCATTCATTCCGGGCACGCTGGCTAACGGCCTCTGCCCTCAGGAGCATGCAGTCTCCCAGCTAAGGCAAGCTTTGGTCCCCTCGTGACTGGAGAGCCAGGCAGCAGCACCACCAGTGGTACCTCCCACCTTGTGCTCCATGAGAATGGCACCCCCTGAAGCACAGCTCAAGAAAGCAGGTGAAGGTGACCCCCCACCCCGAGACTGACCGCTCAGCAGCCCCACGAAATGCCAGACCACAGCAAATGATCAATGCCACTTGAGCATGCGCGGCTCCTTTAGGGCTGACTCTGCTGAGGACCTCACCTGGATGATCTTGTCTTGACCGCACCACCCCTGTGAAGGAGATGTTAGTATGAGCATCTGCAGACTGCAGATAAGGAAGGTGAGGCTCCGTCGCTGAACGATGTGCTCAGAGCTGCCCAACTCAGAGGTGGCAGAGCAGGAATTAAACCCATGGAGGCTGATTCCAGAAACCATATGCTTAACAAGTCCCCTGTCAGCTGAGAAGAAAACTTCAAAAGCTCAGTGAGGAGTGGGCATTTTTAGAGCCCAGGGAATTGCTTGAGGCAGAAAGTTTCTGGCAGGGAATAGAGGTGGGCTCTGAAAGCATGAGATGTCAGTCTGAGCAGCTTGACCTCGACACTGGAGACCTGGAAAAGCACCTTGGTTTCCTCTTGTGGTCAACCCCAATCCGTGGCTACCATAGGGAGACGGACCACAGAGGAGCGTGGGGCTTGACACTGATCAGTGACGTCTGCTTTGGGTCTGGGAGCGAGGAATAACAGCGTGCACACACATAAACACATACGAACACACGCACACACCTACATATATGCAGAGACACACAGGCACATGCATACAGATAGGTACATGCAATATACACATGCACACAGACACACGCATCGACGCAGAGACACACATACAGAGACACACACAGAAAGCCATGCAGAGAGACGGGCATATGCACACACCTGTGCAAACACACAACCCCAGACACTCAGACACGTGGACAGACATATACACACTCACGTAGATACATACAAGGAAACACACACACACAGACACACACACAAGGCTTGCTACATAAGCTGCTGAGGACAAGAGAACGCCCAGCTCACATCACCTGGAATGATGACCCTACACACTTTTTGGACTATTCTCCCTACAAAGAAGTCTCCCAAGTTTAAAAAAAAAAAAGCAAGTGTTTAATACCCGCCTCCTAGCACCTTCAGTGCTAGCGTGGGCTTCCCACGTCACCATGGAAACTGTGCCACCCAGCACTTGCCATTCAAAAACTTTTGTGGCATTCAAAAACATTCACGTATGTCAAAACGACACTGATCCATTCCAGATAGGTGACCCTAATTTTGAACACGGTTCCAAGGACTCCTGGAAGGCAGAATGCGGAATGACTTTGCCGGCACAGGGTGAGTTACCAGGAAAAAGAAGGCAATGCTGTCAGTCCACACGGCTGCAAATTCCTGTCTTTAATGCCGCAGGCAGCCCTGCCCATCGAAGAAGAAAAGATGCCCCAAAGGAAACCACCACCTTGTAGCTTTATAATAAGTGCCTGGCGGTTCTCACCAAATGTCTGTAAAAACATATAATGGAGTTCTATTTTATGTTACGTTCCTGATCAGTTATAGCATTTCATGTTATCAAATGGGCCTTCGGAATAAATTCTTGATTTATAACATGGGGCTTTTAGGAACGATGGGTGCTCAGAAGCTCCGAGAAGTTAAGTAAGCCCTCTAAGATCGCACAGGAGAATCAGGATTTGAATCTAAGTCTGATCCCCAAACCCTGGACTTTCTCCTCCAAGTTGCCCCCACTCCATAACTCCCCTTCCTATGACTGGGGAGTTGATGTTTTAAATCTCATGCCAGACCCTTGTCTCCTTATGTCCTTGAGATGCCCCCACCCCAACTCTGCACTTCACTCTTCCGAATTATTGCATTTCTCTGTGTGTTTGTCTCCTAGCGCCGCCATAACAAAGCACCACAAACTGGGTGATTTAAACAACAGAAATGTATTGTCTTACAGATCTGGAGGCCAGAGTCTAAGATCAAGGTGCGCCCAGGGTCAGGTCCTTCTGAGGGCTGGAAGGAGGAACCTGTTCCAGGCTTCTCTCCTGGCTTCTGGTGGTTTGCTGGCCATCCTGGTGTCCCTTGGCTGGTAGGGAGTTAACCCTGATCTCTGCCTCTGTCTTCACACGGCTAGGACTGGGGTCCCAAGGTACTCAGCCGCTGACAAGGGACTTCTTGCCCACCCCCCACCCCGTTCAAAAGAGTTCTCGGGGAAGACTTCGCAGGAAAGGTCCCAGCTAGCTGCAAAGGGATAGCCCTGAGGACACCTACACAAGGTTCTTAGAGATTCAAATTCCAATGCTACAAAACATCTCAATACAGGTTAATGAGGCAGGTTAAAATAGCCAGAATCTAAGAAGCAACCTTGTGGCTCTGGAGGAAAAAAGAGTGACAGTCTGCTCTCTCTCTCTAACTCATTCACACACACACGCACGCACACGCACATACTGCCCACGCTCTGCCAGCAATTCTCAACCAAGGTATGGTATGTTGCAAGCAGTTTTGAGGTGTATCACCAAGTAATCTGTTGCTAATAATAAAGTGCCAAATGTTGCAAATATATGTACAAGTAGATTCAAGGTTATTCCTGTGAAACATCAGCCTCACTCACTGCATTCTGATTACATTTCTCCAGCGGGAGAGGGAAAACGAGAACTTACAGCTAGAGCAAGGCGCTGGAATGGGAAGCCTGGGACAGCCTCTCTGTGCCCCATGCCCTGTGAGATATGGATGGAAATGTCAAGCTTTCTTCTTTTTAACAGACACAGATGCACGTACTGGGGGTAGACCCCCGGGAGGAAAGGAGGTACACGTGACCAGTGGAGGTCAGGGAGGATTCCCATCCTCGCTAGTGATCCACAAATGCAAATTAGGAAGAGGAGGCACCATTATCATCCATCTAATTGATAAAACATGTTACATCTGATCTTAACAGGTATTGGCAAGGGTGGGAGGGTGGAGAGAGGGCTCCCCTGAAACATGGCAGAAGGGGGCATTGCAGATCTGGATGCCATTACCTTCCTGACCGCAATTCCTACGGCTCTCTCACTTGCTCACTCTGCCCTAAAATCACCAGGAATGTCCCTGCCTCAGGGCCTTTGCACTTGCTAGCACCGCTGTCTGCAACGCTCTTTCCCAGTCTCCTGCATGGCTCATTCCCTTTAAGTCTTTAGTCACAGGTCACACATATCCCAAGCCATATTTTCATTCCCACACACATACACACACGCTTTCCCCCTCTCTCTGTCCCTCTTCTCTACTCTTTTTCCATAGCATCCACGAATCACCAGATATACATAGGCTTTACCTATTCCTTTGTTTATTGTCTACCTCCCCCCAGCACACACCTCCATAAAATGTCAGCACCAAGAAGGCAGGGACTTTGTGGCTTACCTATTCCCTTCTATGCCCCCAGAGTTTGGAGCAATCCTGCCCTGGACGGACAATACCTATTTGTTGAAAGAATCAAGATTTTAAATGCAGATAACCTTTGATTTCACTTTTAAGAAACCCTCTGTACTTGTTTTCTATTGTTGCCTAACAAATTAACAACTTAGAACAACACCTACCTATCAGCTCCCAGCTCCCCAGGTCAGAGCTTCAGCCTGGTGTGGCTGGAGACCGTGCTGAGACTGAAATCGAGGGGTCTCTGGGCCGCTGTGTTCTTTTCCGGAGCTCAGGATCCTCTTCCACACCCATTCCTGTTACTGGCAGAACGCTGCCCCCGATTCGTTGCTGGCTGTCTGCTGTGGGGTGCTCTCAGCTTCGAGAGGCCACTTGTTTTCGTCTCAACGTGGACCCTCCATCTTCACACCAGCACGGCATACCCCAACCTCTTCATGCTTCACACCTTCCTGCTTCCTCTTCTGCTCCCAGCCGGGAAACGCGCTCTGCTTTTAAAGGGCACATGCACTCAGGTTAGGCCACCTGGATCATCTTCATGTCTGAAGTTAACTGACCACATATCACATCTGCAATAGCCCGTCCCAGCAATACCTAGATCCGTGTCTGAAGAGCCAGACGAAGGAAATCCAGGAGCATCTTTATGACTCCGCCCGCCACACCAGCCTAGGCAAACACTCAATGCAATATGCATGGGGAGATGGGGATGAGCGTGCACGCTGCAAAACTAGTTAGAACAGAAAGACACGGGGGCGCCTGGGTGGCTCAGTTGGTTAAGCGACTGCCTTCAGCTCAGGTCATGATCCCGGAGTCCTGGGATCGAGTCCCGCATCAGGCTCCCTGCTCAGCAAGGAGCCTGCTTCTCCCTCTGACCCTCCCCCCTCTCAAGTATTCTCTCTCTCTCTCATTCTCGCTCTCTCAAATAAATAAATCTTTAAAAAAAAAAAAAAGAAAGAACAGAAAGACATGGGACCCACCTGCATGTTCATCAGCGGGAAACGAGATGTATCAGCTACGGTACAGCCACACTCCGGAACATTCCACAAGCATGAAAAAAAAAAAGGAAGCAGAGCTGCAGAGCACATTTTCACCTGCTGAATCTACACAGTGGGCCATGCGCTTCTCCCGGGGTTCAGAGCACCAGCCCCGGAGCAAGGCTGCCTGAGTGAGAGTCTCTGCTTCAGCGTGTCTTATTTGTGCAAGCTAGGTGATTGTCAGAAACTTTCTGTGCCTCTGTTTCCTCATCTGTAAAACAGAGATGATCATCCTAGTACTACCCCACAGGGATTGCCTGGATTAATTAAGATAATGCATATAAAGCGCTGGATACTTGGTTGGAACAGAGTGAATGCTAAATAGAGGGCAGCTATCACCAGCTTTATAATTATGAACATCGCTCTCACTTCCGATATGCCTGTGAGGTCTCTTTATTCTGCATGATATATGCCACTATGCCAGGATTTAGTATTTCTGCACATCCAGATACGGCACTTTTTACTCTGCTATAGAAAAAGATATAGGATGTTTTCACTCTGTTATTTATACCAATAAAAGGCAAGTGTCACAGCAATCACGCACTTTACTCTGTTATTCTTAGGCAAGGGTTTCTGGATGTTACGTATGCGGTTAGGAGATATGTATGTTTACTCCTCGCAAGCCATGCAGACCTGGCATGTTTGGGTTGGCTGCATATGCTTGGCTCACGGTGCCGGCATTATAGGGATGCAATCTCAGTAGAGTCTGGAGCAGACTGGAGATGGAAGTTAAGGGGGATGAGGACTCTCCCGGACATGGGACTTTCAGGTTTAAAACACAGGAAGTCGCGGGCAAGCCAGGCAAGCCGGTCACCCCACACACAGCTCCGGTCAGTGTTCTCCAAACATCACTCACTCATACCCTACCCCATACACATAACCACTCAGGAACATAACTCTGGGGTCAGGGTCTGGGTTCACATCCCGCCTCCATCGCTCACTCGTCACACAGCCTTGGCAAGATGGTTAAGTCTCAGTGCCCTCGAAATGCTCAACTGCAAAGTGGGACTGATCATAAAACCAAGCTCAGTGGCCGTGAGGACTGTAGTAAGTAGAAAGCACCTAGAATCATGCCTGGCCCATAGTAAGCACTCAGTAAACCTTTGCATATTGTTATGAGTGTATCTGCCACCATGCCGGCTAGCTATTTAAATATTTTTATATCTACACACTCTTAAAAGGCTTAAATGAATTTACTGTAAAATGCAATTGTATATCACTACCCTAAATGGAAAGCCAGTGCTCACAGCCTTATAAATAGAAGGTAACTGTAAACACAAATACATACCTCTTTTCCAGGTCAGAGCAAGTTGAGGCCCCACTTAGGGGATGCAGACACCCTTGGGAAATCCAGCCATCTGGACCAGTGGAAACAGGCTACAAGACAGGGAAGGACAAGATGAGGTAGAATTAGGGCTCAGAACTGATTGACAGCGGGCCTGAGGACTCCAGGCCAGATCTAAGCACACCATGCCCCACCCTAGGGCCATCAAGGAAGTGCCTGTAGGAGGGGCGCCTGCATGGCTCGGTAGGGTGAGCATCTGACTCTTGATTTCAGCTCAGGTCATGATCTCAGGGTCGTGAGATCAAGCCCCATTTTGGGCTCTGCACTCAGCCGGGAGTCTGCTTGAGATTCTCTCTCTCCCTTTCCATCTGCCCCTCCCTGACTCTCGGGGTGGGGGTGGTGGTGAGGAAGAGCCAGTAGGAGGTGGTAATTTTCCACAACTTGAGATAAAATGCCTCTGTTCTCACCTCATTTGGGCCTCCCATAGGCAGCCTAGGTGTCTGGTTGGGACAACTCCCTGCAGCGCCCTTCCCCTTAGACAAGTCGTGTCACCTCTCTGAACCTCGGTGAACACCCTCGGGAAAATGGGCACAAGAGCGCCTGCCTCTCAGGATTTTCGTCACCCTGAGAGGACCAGATGGGCAAGAGGTAAACACGCCTCATGGCTTTCAAAGAAGCATTCATGCTCACCACCTGGCCTTTCCAGGTCTCAAGAATTATTCTGTGGCAGCTTCTCATCATGTGGCCATTCCCAAACTGTCCCATATCCCCTAGCCTCAGTGGCCTGGATGAACCATGCAGGTATATAAGCAGAAAGCCCTTCCGAAGGCCAGGAGAGAAGGGAGGCTAATTTTACCACTTTTAGGTAATTGTTCTTTTTTTTTTCTCCCCTGTACTTGAAAACCTGGTCTCCCACTTAAAAATACTTCAAACATTGAGCTTGAATCACGGTACGAACTTCAAGTGACAGGCTCATAATACAATCCGAGCACCTGCTCATAGTCTCCCATGATTGAATAATACGTGAATAGTTCTCCCTCCTTTACCATAACATTCCCTGCTAAAAAGAAACACAAACACCAAGACCCAGGGTGGCTGAGAGCTAAACCTAACCCCCATCTGGCCAGCAGCAGCACTGTGTGGGACCTGAGAGCCGGCGGACAGTGGGCATGACCAAATCCAGCCCAGCTCCAACCCTCCGACCTGTTGATTATCCACCAGGCGTGTAAAGACAGCAGGAAATGAAAGGCCCTGCACGTGTTTTATCTGGCATCATCCTCACCACATTTCTGCAAACTAGGTGTTTTTACCATGACTCCCCACTCACAGATAAAGAGACTGAGGGTCAGAGAGCTCCCCTGACTTGCCTGACCAGGACAGAACAGTGAGGCAATGTCAGAAGCAGGTGCAAACCCTGCTCTCTCCACTTTACAAATGTGTGTGACTGTGTCTGTGTGTGTCCTTTCCCACAAAATAGGTAATCATCTGCGTTACCCTCCTCGTCCCCCTCCTCCTGCTTGCTGCTCTCTCTCCAGCGTGGGCATCCAGGCAAGGGAGAGGCCTCTCCTAGGATCATGACAGATCAGCCGTGCAGGTCTACGTGCTCAGAGCTGCCACTACACGGAGGGCTGTGCTTTCTCCCTTCGGGAGCCAAAATTGTCTTCATGGAGGATCTGGAAAGTCACATAAATAGCTGTGGTAGACGCCAACAGCCACCTTCAAGCTCTGAAGTTATACTGTCCTCCCCTGAAATAACTCAGGGATTCAGGGAACAAAAGGCCTGCACTTTTGGTCTCTCCCACCCCATAACAATGAGGATGCTCTGTCCAGAAATCATCTTCATCCTGCTCCTGGGCTCTCCCTCACTCACCCCTCCGGGCTCTCCCAGTCCATCAGTCCCGTTTCACAGAGGACAAGCTTGAAGATCAAGAAGGGTCTGTTCTCCAGTTAACAGATGGGGAAACAGAGGTCCACAGAAACTGTACTAGCAAATATGATGGTTAATTTTGTGTGTTGACTTGACTGGTTCTTTTGGTCAAACGCTATTCTAGATGTTGCTGTGAAGATATCGTGTAGATGCGATTAACGTTGACGTTAGGTAAAGATTACCCTCCATCCTGTGGGTGGGCCTCATCTAATCAGTTGAAGGCCCTCCGAGCAAAAGCTGAGGTTTCCCAGAGAAGAAATTCTGCCTCGAGCCTGCAACATAAAAACTCTACCTGAGCTTCCAGCCTGCTGGCCTGCCCTTCGGATTTGGGATTTGTCAGCCTCTGCCATCGTATGAAGCAATTCCTTAAAATTTAAAAAAAAAAAAAGATTTTAAATATATTGGATTTCATATTTATTTATGTATGCTATATATATATGTATATATATGTATATATATGTAAAAGATTTTGTATATATTTCTCTGGAAGATCAATGGAGCAAGTAAAGACAGAGCCTAAGAGGGTGGAGAGGACAAGAGGACTCACGTGAATGAAGCACCACTATGTTCCGGAAGCTCCTGCCTGTGTTATCTTGGTAAAACCTCCCCCGCCACCCACAGAGGCGGCTTGTGCCCTTTCCCGGGGTTCAGAGAGTGTGAGTGACCTGCCCAGGGTCACACAGCTGGGAATCAAACGCCATCTGCCTCCACCGGCCATACTCCCCAAACACCATGGTGCTGGCAAGACGATGGTTCCCCGGGAGTTGGGGGGGCATCATTCCCTTCCAGGATCCCAAGGGGAACGCCTCCTCAAGTCCTTCTATGGGAAGTCACTGAGGTCAGAAACCAAGATGCACTGTTTCTAGTGGCACAAAATGGAAAACCCAACTCAAACTCCCTTCAGCAATAAAGGGAATGTCTTGGTCTGCACGTGTGGGAAGCCCAGCGGTAGATCTTCACGCGTGGGCTGAGACTGGGCAGCCGCAGAAGCAGCCTCTCCCCCAGAGGGTGCCCATCCCCCTCCCATCCGGGCACAACCCTCTCAGGCTCTCCACCGTGGCCCTGGATGCTTCCAGCTTCCGTGTGAAACTAGCAATTCCTGTGAAAAGAGAAATCCTCTGCTGTAGTTTGAAGGCTCGGGATCGAGACCCCAGGCAATGGCTTGGCTCTCTTCTTTCTTGCCTGAACGAATTGAGATGTAACCCAAGTGGTGGTCAAGAGCCACACTGCCTGGGTTCAAATCCCTGCTCCATCACTGACCTGCTGGGTCCCTTGGACAACAGTCTTAACCCCTCTGTGCCTCCATTTTTCCACCTGTAAAATGGGGATAATAATTGTACTTCCTTCAAAGGCTTGTGGTGATTAATAATTAATGGGTTGCTTTACATTTGGGGGTGCACCTCTTTATCTGGAACCCGGATCTGCCCCACCTGAGCCACAAGGATTAAGAGGCACAGGATGATTCTCCAAAAGGAAATGGATTTGCTGTTAACAAAAGGAAGGAGAATGGCAGGCAAAAAGGCCAGACTAACAGCTGCCTAACAGAGTGGCCTCAGCAAAATGCCACAATGCCTGATTATTTTCTTCCCCGCTGGGTACGAACCTGAGGTCAAAAGCAGCCTTAAATTAGAAAGATAAAAAATATCCTAATTACGTGCAAGAATCAAGTAAAGCAGGTCATTCTGTCCTGCTGCTACAGCTTTCTTTGTGCTTCTACCCACTGAAAATGAAACCAGTAAAAATCAGGCATTTAAAAATCTACCCTTGACTCGTTTACTCATTCAACAGGCATCTAATGAGCGCTAGAGATGGGTTTCCCTGAAAGTAACCTGCCTTAAGCTTCAGGGGCTGTCTCTCAGATGGGTCTTTTCCAAAGCCTTCTACCTAATTTGGTATTTGTAATTCTGTATTCTTTTACTTAGAGATGTCATCCTTCAAACTGTGGAAGCTTGAGACTGCACGATTTTTGGATTTGCCCTCGGTGAGTCCCTGTTAAATTCCAGGCAGAGAGGGACGACGGCTGCAGAGTAAATCAAACGGGGAGCCCTCTTCGAGGAGCGCCCTCTCCTGGGGGACCCTGGGAATGAGCATGAGGATCATCTCCCAGGCAAGATACGTGCTGTTCTTTCATTCATCCACTGAACTAACGTGTATCGAGCACCTATTATGTACAAGGCACCAGGGATCCGGGATGAAAAGTCAGAGGAAGGCTCTTCTCTCAAGGAGCTTATAATCAATCAATCAATCCCCCCAAAAAATCAGTACGAAAAACAAAGAGGATGAGGAGGTGACGGATGATTAGAGTAATACCTACAATGGTCAGGCAGGCAAGGCTTCTTTGAGCACAGGTGCTGGTTTATGAACATGGAGAAGCTGCAGCTGTTTCAAGGGGGAAGGGAGCCCCAAGCAGAGCGAAGTGCACGCCAAGGCCCTACGAAAGGAATGAACTCCGTGCTCGCAGAGGGAAGAGCAGAGAAATGGCCAGGACAAGCAGGACCAGGGGGAGAGAGCAACAAGATGAGGTCACAGGTAGAGACAGACGCTAGATCATGTAGGACTCTACAGCCAGGGTGAGAGGGTTGGATGTTGAAATGGGAAGCCCTCAGGGTTTAAGGCAAGGGAGTGACATGATATCGGGAACATTGTAAAGAGAGCTCCTTGACTGCTGTGGATGGAGCATATTGTTGGGTGGGAGCGAAGACCAGCTCAGGGGCTTCTGCTTCTATCCGCAGTTGGCAAACATTTCCCGAAGTTTGGACAACCTCTTGTTGTAGGTTGTGGGGAAACAGGCCTCTCGGACATTACTGGTGGGCATGCAAAAGGGCCCAGCTCCTACAGAGGGGAATTTGGCAGTATCTGGCAGAATTCCATAGGCATTTATCCACTGACTCAAAATCCCACTCCTAAACATCGATCCCCAACATACACTGGCAGAAAGACAAAGGAAGGGTGCACGAGGCTATTCACTGCACCATCAGTTACGATGGCACAAGACTGGGGATCGCTGGTACTTGGGCATTAGAAGGAGCCTGGTTATGGGCGTCTGGGTGGCTCAGATGGTTAAGCGTCTGCCTTCGGCTCAGGTCATGATCCCAGGGTCCTGGGATCGAGTCCCGCATTGGGCTCCCTGCTCCTTGGGAGCCTGCTTCTCCCTCTACCTCTCTCTCTCTCTCTCTCTCATGAATAAATTAAAAAAAAAAATCTTTAGAAGGAGCCTGGTTAAATTAATACTGTACCTTGACCCGATCCTATCCATGATAGAGCTGTCCAAGCAAGGTGCAGAGTCTTACACTCGGCTATGCAGTGATCGCCAAGATGTATTATTAAAGGAAACAGCAAGGTGGAGAAAAAAATGTGTCTATTTTGCTGCCATTTACCTAAGAAAGAGCTTGAATATGAACAGATGTTTTTTAATGGGAAGATGACGCAAAAACAAGAATGACTACCTACCAGGGGAGGGAGGAAACAGTTGAAGGGGGAAGAGACAGAAACTAGATGTCGCTGAACAAATTGTTTCAATTTGACTTCAAAATATTGTGCGATTTTAAATAACACATTTTTATTTAAAACTTAAAATTTTTTAAGACTTTATTTAATTTTAGAGAGAGAGAGGGAGAGAGAGCACGTGAGCAGAGGGAGAGAATGCCAAGCAAACTCCCCACTGAGCACGGAGGCCAACGCAGGGCTCGATCCCAGGACTCGTAGATCATGACCTGAGCCAAGATCAACAGTCTGATGCTTAACCCCTAGGGGCGCCTGGGTGGCTCAGTCAGTTAAGCGTCTGCCTTCAGCTCAGGTCATGATCCCAGGGTCCTGGGATCGAGCCCCGAATTGCGCTCCCTGCTTGGCAGGAAGCCTGCTTCTCCCCCTCTCCCACTCCCCCTGCTTGTGTTCCCTCTCTCGCTATGTCTCTCTCTGTCAAATAAATAAATAAAATATTTTTTAAAAATTTAAATTAAATTAATTGTTTTAGTTCCTCAAAATTAAAAGCAAAATGAAACCAATGAGCCTAAGTGTATATTGACTTGGTGGCATAACCACATGGAAAAAAGGCTAGTTGAGTGACTTTAAAACATAGTGATTTTTAAGCATCCCCTAGTAAGAAATACATGAAGGACAAAAAAGGGACAGCAAACAAAAGTCTGTTTTCATTAATCAAATCATCGAGGGTAGTGTTGTTATTATTTTCCTGAGACCATTCTGTGTGCATGATAAAATAAAGCGAATGAGTAATTACATAGGTTTCCTGGGAAATCCAGAACTTGAGTGTGGAAGAAAGGAGGCACGGATATAAGATTGGGGAGGTTAAGAAAAAACCCGCTAGTCCTGAGTTGACATTGAAAGTCTCTCTATTGGGGTACCCGGGTGGCTCAGTCGGTTAAGCATCTGCCTCTTGGTTTTGACTCAACTCATGATCTCAGGGTCATGGAATCGAGGCCCATGTTGGGCTCTGCGCTCAGTGGGGAGTCTGCTTGAGATTCTCTCTCTCCCTCCCTCTGCCCCTCCGCCCATTCATGCTCTCCAAATAAAATTTTTTGGAAAAAGAAAAAAAGTCTCATATAAACTCAAGATGTATTTTATCTCCAAAAAAAAACACCCCCTAGCACGCAGACTGTGGGCTCTAAGTACCACTGTCCACCAGGAGAACCCTGGGGTCAATGCAGAAATGTCTGATTCTGTGTCTGGGGCCGAGGAGGAGAAGTAGGAAAAGGGAACTATAAAGTAGCTGTCAGTGAACAGGAGAAAAAAAACCCAAGAGAGTGAATGACACCAAAACCAAGAGAAGCAAGTGTTCTAAGGTGGGAGTTGCAAATTATCAAGAACAGCGGCAAAATTTAAAAAATTGTTCTGGAAACTACCAATGGAAGAAAAAAATATCACAGCCAGAGGAAACAGATCCAAATCCTGCCATACTCACCTCTAATAGGAACCTGGCATTTGGAAAAGGCAGATGAAAAATACACATTCTTTTCCTTGTGCTTCTCATCTGCACGTGGTGACATTTAAGCAGGAGCGCATCATCTCAGCTCCCCAGACCAAGGTGAGGCAGTGAGCACCCCATCTCTGGAGGTGATCAAGTTAAGGAAGGGAGAGCAGGCTTCAGGGATGCTAGAGAGGTGATCCGGCCTTGGAGAGTGAAAGAAGGCTCCCCAGAGCAAGAAAGCAATATGGCGTAGCACACGGCAGAGGCTTGGTGAATGTTCCAGGCTGATCTGTGGAGCTTCTGCAGTCAGCCCCTCGTGTCCTCCAGCTCCAAGATACGCTCATGGCATAGTGTTAGCTTTGGACCCTGAGTCCCTTCCATGGAGCCTTCCTCCAGGTATTTCTCTGCACTGTCATCTCTTCATCTCCATCTGCCAGGGCTTCGCCTGCGCATTCTACTCCCAGGATTAGCCACAGAAAAGCAAGCAAAAAGGAGGCTTTTATGAACACCACCAGCTGCAGAGGCCGGCCCCAGGCCCTCCTGCAGGCTCCAGCCATGTAATGGTCGTGAAGCAGGCCTGGAGTACATCTGTGGGATGGAAAGGAAATGATCAGTCCTCTGGTGTGACCTCTGTATGAGTCGGGGTTCCCCAGAGGAATAGGACCAATGGGAAATATGTAAGTATATAGAAAGACGTCTGTTATGTGGGACTGGCTCACGTGATTTTAGAGCAGAGGGGTCCCACGATCTGCTGCCCACCAGCTAGAGGCCCAGGCAAGCCACTGGCATGGTTCCAGTCCAAACCCGAAGGCCTGAGACCCAGGGGAGCCAATGGTGTGAGTCCCGGGTCCGAGTCTGAGGGCCTCGACTAATGGGCATGAGGACTGTCATTAAAGCTGTGGCAAGAGCTTCACAACTTGGTAAACTTGCTAAAAAAATCACTGAGTTATACACTTGAAATGGCTGAATTATGCAGTATAGAAAATACGCTTCAAGGAGCTTTTTTTTTTTTTTAAGTATTGGCACCAAAGGATCCCAGCGGATCAGCTAGGAGAAATTCCAGCGTGAGATAAATAGGTAAAGGATGTCCTAGCAGAGGGAACGCAGCAGCACCCACGAGCTCAGCGGCAGCCCCCAGATGTTTAAAAGTGATTTTAGGCAAGATAATATACTGTTTTATTATGTTGGTAGGAGAAGGCTATGAAGAGGGATGAGTGACCATGAGGACCAGGACATCATTTGTAACAGGTTTGGAGTAACTCGAATTTATACTTGTTTTGCTTAAAAACTTTTAGGGGAACGAAGTTGTCCAGACTGTCAAGTGACTATTTCTCCACGTTTGATTAGTGGTGACTGGCTGGAGCTTTGTGTTGGGATTGATTAGTGATGTCTTCCAGGGAGCCAGGAGTGGGAGCATGAGCAGGTGTGCCGTTTATTTGCCAACCCAGCTTAGACACTGGGAATCATTGCCCCAGTACAAGAGGGAGATGCCATAAGCCTGAGATACCTGGGAGGCAGGGAGAGCAGAATCATGCTGTCCTGGATCCAGCAGAGAAGAAAGTCCCAATGCAAAGGGAGCTTCTGTGGTCTGTTAATGCTTGTAAAGCCCAGAAGAGAATCCTTTTCCCTAGGAGCCTTGTTCGCACAGATGGTGTGCTAAAAAGAAACCATTCAGTGAAGCCAGAACCTCTAAGGGGTTCCACTGATACACTTAACCTACCAAATGTGCATTTCCACAGAAGCAAGGAAAACCACAAAGCAATGAGTCTGACCCCATCTCTCTGCAGCCCGTTCGTGCAGTCGGAAAATTTTTCCCACCTCTTTTTTATGAGAATCTATCATCCCATAGAAAAGTTCAAATAATAATAGGATCATAAACACTGAGATTCATCTAGATTTATCAATCGTTAACACTCTGCCACATTTGCTTATCTTCATCCATATTTTTTTTGCTGAATTGTTTGAAAATAACTAGTAGCATCATGACATTTTATCCCTACATATCTCAGCCTATATTTCTCAAGAACAAATACGTTCACCAACATCACCACTGTGCAATAGGACCATTAGCACGCCCATGAGATTTAATCAGACAATACTGGTACCTTCTAGGCAGCCCACATGGAAATCTCCCCAACACCCCCAGGAATGTTCTATTCATTTAATTAATTAACCCAGAATCCAATCAAGGCTCATGTACTTCACGTGGTCGTCATGTCTCCTTAGTCTGCGTACCCAGGAAAGGTCTGGCTGCCTTGAGTTTACCTCCATTCATTGATGCTCCTTCAGAGTCTAGGCTAGCTGTCTTGTGTCTTGTGGAAGGGCCCCCCTCTTTCTGAAAGGTGTATAGCTCTTCAAGAAGGCTTTAACATACCTATTTTCCCGACTCTTTCCTACCCTTCTGCCTGCAATTACGAGATTTCAGTAAACATCCTATGCACAGCTGATTCCATTCCGATTCTCCAGTTAAGAATGGATTCAAGGCACCTGTCTCTTCTCTACACGCTGCCCTTGTTAGAGGTGGCCCCCAACTACAAGGCGGGCCTCTCTGGCTTGGTTTAAAGTCAAGGGAAGGTTATCTGGCTGGCCTCCGCCTACCCAAAGAGGAGAGAAAATTCGCCTAGGTTTGGGGCTGTTGGTATAGTTTTGACACCTTTCTAAAATAACCTTCTTGCTGCTTTATTAATTCCAGCGGGTGTTTCTTAACAGGTGACAGCTTTGCCCTTTAATTGCTGAGGGATTTTAATTTTGCACTGCTGTTTGCTGCTCAGAATGATTTACCTTGGTTCATAAACACCTGCATCCCAGGGACTTCTTGTACGGTTAGAAAAGTAAACGTACAGGCTGCATGATTCCAACACACACACATGCGCACGCACTTCCAACTGGGGCGGTGTATCTGACCTCACGAGGCTCCTGTCACCTTCAGCATTTGGGGGCAATCTCTATAATTACTTCCCTAATACCGTCCTTCAAACCAAATTGCTCTTCTTACCAAAATAAGTAACTTTTCCAATAAGATCTTTTATCACTATTAATGGAAAACTGGCACGATTTTCCATAATCGGCTGTAAAAATAAGCTGAGCCTGAGGCCTGCTGCATCTCATTTAAATGGAAGATCGGCAGGAGTTCAAGACAGAGGCCAGCGAGCCGAGACTGTCAGCTCCGAGCCATCACGGGAATGAGAGGGAGCTGAAAAAGCATTTTCCGCCACAAGATTTGCAGTTCTTTTTTTTTTATTATTCTTACGTTAATCCCCATACATTACATCATTAGTTTTAGATGAAGTGTTCCATGATTCATTGTTTGTGCATAACACCCAGTGCTCCATGCAGAATGTGCCCTCCTCAATACCCACCACCAGGCTAACCCATCCTCCCACCCCCCTCCCCTCCAGAACCCTGTTTGTTTTTCAGAGTCCATCGTCTCTCATGGTTCGTCTACCCCTCCGATTTCCCCCGCTTCATTCTTCCCCTCCCACTACCTTCTTCTTCTTTTTTTTTTCTTAACATATATTGCATTATTTGTCTCAGAGGTACCGATCTGAGATTCAACAGTCTTGCACAAAGATTTGCAGTTCTTTAATGTCCAGTCTGATGACCACCACCTGGAGTGATATTTCATGCCCCCGGAATGGCACACACTCCCCACCTTGAGCAACACCCATCTTCCTATTTGGGGTGGCTTCTTTTGTTTTGGTTTCTTAATACTCTCTTCAAAGATCAAGCTTTACAGTGGATGACCTATGCACCGTAGGTTTTTTGGAAAAGCTGGTCATCACATCGCTGAGAAACCAAAATGAAAAAAGATTGATAACATAAAAAATTGATCTCACCTGGGTTTTTTTTTTTTTTCACTTTTTTAATGTGGCCACTAGGAAATTTTAAATTGCATGTGCAGGGGCACCTGGGTGGTTCAGTCGGTTAAGCGTCTGACTTCAGCTCAGGTCATGATCTCAGGGTCCTGGGATGGAGCCCCACGTAGGGCTCCACACTCCCTGCCGAGTGTGTCCCTCTGCCCCTCCCCCCAGCTCATTCTCTCTCTCTCTCTCTCTCAAATAAATATATAAAATCTTTTAAACAATGTAAATAAATATATTGTTCATGCAGGTTGCATCTGTGGCTGATGCTGTAATTTCGCTGGACCATCCAGTGGCTTCTGAAACAACAGCACAATCTCCAAGCTGGAGTCCACAGGGATGGGAAAGGGAAGAGAGAATTAAGGAAAGTCTTCGGATGTCCCTTCCTAGTCCCCACTCCACCCTTCAATCAAAGAATCTCAGATGTGCATGGCACCTAAAAGATTACCGAGCTCAGGAATCAGCAAACGGCAGTCCAGGGCCCTGTAAAGGCAGGGTGCTTAGTGGACATGCCCCTTGGTTTGGTTTTGTTTTTTTGTAAAGTCACTCCCTGTGTGACCATGAGCGACACTGGGAGCCAAACACCCCAGGTTGAGCAGGAAACAGTTTTATTTGAAAAGAAAAGCGCACCATCCAAACCGGGGGTACCATATTAGTTTTTTGTGGCCGCAGCAACAAATTACCAGAAACTGAGCAGCTTCAAACAACAGAAGAAACTTATTCTCTCAAGATTCTGGAGAGGAGACATCCAAATCCAGGTGTCGGCAGGGCTGGTTGCCTCTGAGGCTTCTCTCTTAGCGCCTGGTGGCCACCACAAGCTTTGGCCCTTCCTTGGCCTGGGTGTCCGTGTCCCAGTCCCATCTCTTTCTCCATCATCGTATGGTGGTCTCTTCTGCATCCGCCCTCCTCTATGTCTGTGTCTTCTCCCCCTCTCAAATCCACCATTCATTGGATTTGGGGCCAGGACCAACCAGATAATCCAGAAGGATCTCATTGCAAGATCCTTAATTACACCTGCAAAGATCCTTTCTCCAAACAAGGCCCCATTCACTTGTTCTGGGGAGGGACATACCTTTTTGGGCAGCTGCCGATCGAGGCATTTCGGGCACCCAACACAGTCACCCCAGCTGGAAACTGCTTTCAGTCCACGGGAGAAATAGTGGCTGATGGTTATGAAGCGTTTCCCGGGTGCCAGGCACCGAGCAAAGTGACGTCCACTCGTTAGCTTGTTTATCCCATTCAGTCTGCTCCAGCTCAGCCCTTGAAAGTGTGGCTGTCAGTTCCCCGGGGCCTTAAGTGCCTGCGCACAACGACATGTGCATTAATAAGTGGCGCCATCTGGAAGGCGATGGAAGCAAGCACCCTCCCTCCTCCGCCATCCTTTCTCCTTTGATGATCCGTAATTTGATCACTTTAAAGAATGTAAGGTAATAACCCTGCTTCAGAAGGGGCATCCCTTTTATCTTCTCCAAGGCTCTCATTCGGCTGGGGACAAAGTTTCAGAAACGAACTGTAGTTTGTTTCTTTAAAGCTCCTGTAAGGATGTAAGGTGTGGTGTTTGCCCATGGTGGGGGGTGGAAATAAACGTTTTCCAAAGTTGTGGATTTTCAACAATACTTGGTGCCAAGTAGAAGTAAAAGTAGCAAAATAATAACAGCAACAAGAAAGGCAGGTGGGCCCCTCCATGCCACATCCTTCTCAGGCTCTCCTTCTGCAGCCTTGGGCTAAGGGAGACACAGCTGGAGCGCTGGGGGAGCTTACAGCCCAGAGCGGAAGGCGGGGGAGCGGAGGAACATTAATTGTGAACGGGAGACCAGGAGTGTGCACCTCCAGCCTACATAGTGGACACGCTGACAGCGATCTGAGGCCACACAACCAGGGAGAGCCCGCTTGCAGGTGAGAGACCTCAGGGAGAGCCGCCCACACCAATCTGATACCGCCCGAACTAAGAATATTCCCTGGCAACGGCTCTAGGACACAGAAGAGCAAATGCATGTGTGGACCCTCTGTTGTCAGACACAGACTGGGCTCTTTGCATGTGTCACCTCAGGTAACGCTTGCAGCAACCCCCGGTGCCCGGTGCTATCATTCACAGCTTTTTCCAGCCCGCCCCACAGCCTCCCGTGGACAGACCATTTGGGGCAGGCTGCCAAAGCTCCCCCCCTCCCCCGATGTGTGGTCGCCACAAAGAAAAATATTGAAAGTTCCGGTGCTCGAGATTTTCCTTCCCAATGCACATTTCTGGTGCTACAGAAAATATTTTGACATCTGCTCATAGCCAGTTCTAACAAGTACCTTTCCTCTTCCTCCTGCTATATGAAATGTGAAAATTAAACTTGCAGGGAGGACTGGAAGGACAGGACATTCACAGCGCAACTCGCGGACCAGACTGCAGTCACTCTGCTGGGTTACCTCAGATGAGCAACAGTGCCGCTCTCTGCCTCAGTTTCCCCACCTGGTGTAAGGGGGTGGCCATAATTAGACTGTCGTGGGAATGAAATAACTGCATGTAACAAAGCAGGATTCAGTAAACTTTTTCTGGGCAGAACCAACTCTGCCATTAGAGGAAAAACAGCCACAGAAAATATGTAAATGAATGGGTTTGTCTATGTTCCAATAAAACTTTATTGACAAAAGCAAACCATGGGCCAGGGTTTGGCTTATGGGACTGCAGTGTGCTGACAACGGGCTTGGCTTCAAATCCCAGTTATGCCTCTTAGAAGCTGTGTGACTTGATGCAAGTTACTTAACCTCTCTGATCCTCAGCCTTCTCATCTGTAAACTAGTGTGAATAATAGAATCTACCTTTTAGGGCTCAAGACCTGTGAGATACTGTTTGCAATCCCCTTAGCACATGGCACATGGAAAAGACTCAGCAAACATCAGCCCCTCCTATTACTAATACAAACCCCTGTCTCTCCGGAAGTCTTCTGGGCATGGTCAGCCCCGACTCCGGCAGCCCACCCTCCATCACTCACGGGACTGCATGGGAAGCCTGCTTGTTTCTCCACCACCCTCTACCCGTGAGCAACTAGAACCTACAATAGCACAGCCTGGCACACAGTAGGTGCTTAATAAACATCACTAGACTAAATGACTACGTGGACCTCGTTCCTAAGCCCCAAGCTAAACCAAGCCCAAATATGAATTTTGCCCCCCAAATAAACCTGGAAAAAGCCAGGCGGGGGTGAGTAAAGACTCATTGGTCGGTCTGCCTTGGACTCATAAAAAACCAGTCAGATGTGGAAAGTGGGGGCAAGGGAGACACAAAGGTATGCTTAAAGCCCCTCAGCACATTCAAGGCAAAGGAAGGAGTAGAATTCAGAGTTTGTTCCCAGGCTCCTTGCTTAGTCACCATATCCCTGTCCTTTCTCCCTCACTTGGCTGGCCCTCGGAAGAATGTCCCCCACCACCCCCACCCCACTGCCGCCAGGCGGGATTTCACTGATGCTGGTGGCCTACACAGGTGAGCCCGGATTTCATGTCTTCTGCTTGATCACCCCAGTCAATGCTGAATTCCTCCAGTTTAGTCCACCACCCTGCCCAGTCATGGCTTGGAAACAGGTTCACTCACAAAGCTGGGCTCCACGGAACCAGGGCGGGGATGCTCACGGAACTGTAGTGCAGGAGCAGGGCAGGGAAGGGAGAGGCTCTGACTCTGCAAAGGGGTCTCTGAAAGGATCCCGGCTTATTACAGATGCCCCCTTCTCAATTTATCCTCAGGATCCAGAACCTCCTGTCGGCTGCTCTAACAATGAAGATGAGTAATAACTAAATCTTGGCAGACAAGATCTGGTTTAAGCTTCACAACGAGGAGGTAATAGAGCCCCCTCCAAATTTTAGCAAGACACATAGCTTTGGTGCTCAGATAAGAGATGAGACTTCCCAGCCTCCCTTGCAACTAGGTGTGACCATGTGACTAACTCCCGACCAGTGGGAACTAAACAGAGGTGATGAGTTTCCATGTCACCGCCTTAAAAGGAGTTGCTAGTCCCCGTTCCATAGATGTACTGCTGGTGAGCGCACTTGGCCATGCCAATGTTAGCAGAGTGACAAAGTAGAAGGAATCTGGGTCCCTGAATGGCTTCATGGCGATGTCTGCCTGGAAACACTCACGTTGACTCTTGTGTGAGAGACAAAATGAACTTCTGTATACTTAAAATCGCTGCATTTGGGGGCCTCTTTGTTACAGCCTTTACCCTAATACGTCCTTAGGGCCCTAATGAGCATGTCTATTCAGCAGATGAGGAACTGGGTCTCAAAGTGGTTAAGTTACTTGACCAAGAGCATGCAGATGAGATGCAGCCAATTAGGGACGAACAAAGCTGTGTTTGACTCCAAGGTCTGTGTCCTTCTCCTAAGTCCCAATGCCTCTCAATTACAGGGCTCATGCTGCATGCACTTTTTCAATGTACAAAGCCCTTTCATGTAAAAGGACATTGTTTCTGAGCTTTGCCCTAGCCTGGTGAAAGAGATTACTCCTTTCGTTTTACAGATGAGGAAACTGAGTTTCACCAGGATTAAGACAGTGCCCAAGCTTACACAGGTGGTAAGAGGCAATTCTGGGATCTGAACAGAGTCACCTAGCTTTAAAGGCAGATCTCTAATGCTCTACAACTTCCCAGCTATTTCAGTATTGACAAGAACCCCTAGAGAAATGTTCCCAGTACTTGTTCCTGAGGTCAAGATGCTTCCACAAAATCACAGATGGCCAGCCATCTCCGCTGGGTTCCCCTGGAGCAGACCCTGAGACAAGGTGTTCAAGTCAGGGTTCTCCAGAGAACAGAACCAAGAGGATACGTGTATTTATTTTAAGGGACTGGCCCACACAATTATGAAGACTGAGAAGTCCCCCTGTCTGCCATCTCCAAGCTAGAGGCCCAGGAAAGCCAGCAGTATACTTTGATGGTCCGAGAGTCAGATAGCTGATGGTGGAGATTCCACTCCAGGTCTGAAAGCTTAAGGTCCAGGAGCACTGAGACCAGGAGAGCAATGTTGCAGCTCAGCAATAAGGCGATTAATTCCTCTGCCATTTTGTTCTATGCAGGCCCTCAATGGATTGCATGATGCCCACCCAACACGGAGGAGGGCCATCTGCTTTTCTCAGTCTACCAATTCAAATGCTAATCTCATCCGAGCACCCCCTCACAGACACACCCAGAAGTCATGTTTTTCCAGCCACCTGGTGGCCCAGTCAAGTTGACACATAAAATGAACTATTACACAGGTTTTCTAGTGAAAATAGTTTATCTGGGAGGGGATTGCAGGTGTATGGAGAGGAAAGTGAGACAGGGAGAGAGAGACAGGCAACCAAGTATGCATTATCCAGAAAGATGCCTTGTACACAAAGTGGAGCTCAATACCACTGGGTAACTCTGGGCAGAGAGTGCTGAACACCCCTCCGTTTCCCATGGAAGGGGCAAGGAATCTGCAGTATTTCCTACCCACTCCCAGCCCTTGTTGGTGGAGGGCTGCTTTCAGGAGTGGCAACTCCCTAACCCCTCCAGCCTTCCCCATGCACAGGCAGATCATGCCGTTGGCCCCAAGGGCCCTCAGAATACAAGCACAGGAAGACGGAGGCGCGTAGAGATGGATGCTGAAGGGCAGATACAGCACCAACACCTTCTGCCCTCTAGCGCTTGGAGGACACGGAGCGGGCAACTGTTCTACCTCTTTATAGCACAGAAGAGGATAAGGAGGCCTCATTCTTTTTTTTTTTTTTTCACTGTTCAAAATTTATTTGGTATTTTAGTTGGTATGACAGGATAGTTGGTTGCATTGTCTTTTTAAATTATATGGCCATGTACACTATATAGGAGGCCTCATTCTAGACTGATCACTGATCCAGGCAGCTTTGATTTCAAAACCATATTTGTTTGATTTTAAGATACCATTGCCTGTAAGATACACAGTATTATAAACAACTTTTCCAGACTTAAAAAAATCTACATTAAACCCACACAAAAGGCATTTTAATTTCAGATCTCTTAAAAGGTTTAAAAGAAAGCGTCTCAAACTCTAGACAATACGCCTTTGTCCTGCTGTCCCCATAAGGACACTTGCACCCTTCCGACCCTCTGACCCACTCTGGGCTCAGAAAATAGAGGTATTTTGTTTGAAAGTCTGTTCTGCCTCTGAAGTTCTGTGATTTTCTATTTCCTTGCTACATCTTTGTCATGGCAACACAATGTACATTTGCATTTCAAAAACCACCCCTGCCTACTCCACACCTTAAAACCAGAATCACAACCCCACCCCCTCTCCCCCCCAACATTTATAAACGGGCAACTT